TTTTTATCTCTTCATTTTCTCACAACCTCTCTTTCCTCTATCTATCCACCCCTTCCTTCCTCCTCTCTCCCTCCCTTCCCACTCTCTCTCGATTTACTCTCAATTATACGGTCCTCCTCACTCAAGATCATTTCTGCTTCAATATACAACAGACATTAGATAATAACACTATATTCACATATTGATTCTAATGTTTACACTGATTGCGTCAACAAAATTAACATGGGTATCAGAGGAAGCGAACGTTAACGGGAAAATTAGATTAGTGATTTTTAGGAAAAAATGCTTGTTCAATTGTTGTAGAGAACCTGTGTCCTTTATGCGGAAGAAAGGAAGAGACAGGAAAGGAAGATTCATCGAACATCGCAGGTTATTTATCTCGTGGAATTTTTTTGATTCAAATGTCTCTTGCTTCTGTCCCGAATGTTGTTCTGCAACCCTTTAGTGAGTGAATTGCACTGCTAATAACTTCATGAATATTATGAAGCATATTGCATTCAATTGCTTTTTAGGAGTCGTCAATGGCATATTCTAAAAGGGAATGGTTTAATCCGGTGCTCCTTTGGGCATTCAGTTTGCAATCCCAGACTCCTCCTGGTTCAGCGAAGGGGAGTTTCTGCCATTGTCTTCTCGGGACAGAGACTTAGAGCGTAGTTTTCACCAAATATTTCACAGCTTCCCGTTTGGATGTTATTGTCTCTTTGTCTCTCGTCCTCTATCCATCTGTCTCCCTCTCTCTCGCTCTTTATATTCTCACACACACACACGCATATATGAATGAATACATGACACACACACACAGACACACATATATGTGTGTGTGTGTGTGATTTTTAAAAATTGTATGTGCGCATGTGTGATTGTATACATAATCCCTGTTCATCTATGCACACCCTTTCGTCCCTTCCACGCTCCTTTCACTTTCTGCTGCAAGAGTCCGCGCGCCGTCGAGTGCGGACGAAACCGCGGCGGCGCTCGCCTGCTCTCCGGGCGGAGCGGCAGAAAGAGGCTCTGGGCCGAGGGAGCGGAACGAGGGGAAACATCGGCAAAAAAAAAGAAAAAAAAGTAGCGGATTATGAAGGTCTATATTTATTAGCCGGTTACTTATTTTTCTTTTTTATTTCTTCTGTTAGTTGAAGTTCTGACGAGGGGTCATTAAAATAGATTTTTTTGCATTGTTGTGAAATTCCTATCGGGAATTTACAGACGATGAGGTTAACAGATGTATGAATAGATAGATAAGTAGACAGACAGATAAAAGGGTGAAGGATAACTAGACCAGTACGTGTATAAACAAATATAGAAAGAGAGCTAGATATAAAGAGACAAGAAATGATAACAGGGGAAGGAAAACAAAAATATGAGAAAAATTCAGAGAGAGAGAGAGAGAGAGAGCGCAGTCCATAGAATCACATGCAAGTAACGGCCAACGGCAGGTGAGAGGAGGTAATTAAGAGAAAGATCTCGGCCGGGTTAGTTTCCCGCCCTTTTATCGGATGCGGAAGTGGGTGGCCTCCTGCCGCGGCGATCGCTTGGTTCCTTCGGGTTGGCTTCGGACTTTTATCTCTGTGTTATGCTATTCATTATGCTTCTTCCTTTCCTTTTTTCTTCTTTCTTTATGATGATCATTATCATCGATTCTATTATCATCATTATTAATGTAATAATAATTTTAGTGCTACTATTATTAATCCAACTGCACTGCTGCTACTGTTATTATTGCAACAACTAGCACTACTCGTACCGTAGTTGCGATTACTACTGTTGCTACTGCTACTTCTTTTATAACTACCTTCGCTACTGCTGCTCCTCTTGCTATTGCAGTTCTTGTCCTCGACACAACTGCAATTACGGTTTATTCCCGAGAATGGAACTGGTTAAGGCAGCCGCGTTTACCGACTATTTTTTAGGCTCTCGATTGTCCCGCGACCGCACTCGGCCGCACCACAGCGACGTCATCCCGACCCGGCCGCAGCGCCACCGCTTGTATTCTCTATCTTACCGCAAGCAGTCACGATTCGCCCGATCGCTCTTACTCTGTCCACCCTTAAAGTATTGCTCTATCGACCCTTAAGGGCTCACTCTGTCCACCCTTACAGTCTCGCTCTATCCACCCTTAAAGTGATGCTCTATCCACCCTTCAAGTTTCTCTATCCACTTTTAACGGTCCCTCGTGCTGGGTATTCCCCGGCAAATAAACTTTTACAAGCCTGCCTATAAGCGGAAGCGCCCGTATCTCCGCTTCCCCTAGTGTTCTTCCGCGCCCACGCCCGCGCCTGCTTGCTCGCAGGTTCTCGGCGTCCGCATCCGTGCGGTGAAGCCCCACCGCCGGCACTTCCTCAGCTCCCCCGACCCGCGCACTCACACAGCCGCACCGGCTGGCCACACGAGCACGTCACGGCGTCAATGTCCTATTTTTTCCCACGGTTAGCCCGATTTTCCCACGGTCCCTCCCCCCGGAGCCCTACGTCGAAGCGACTCCTGGCAGCGGCGCCGGCGA